CCCGACTTTGAAAGGGGCTGCACGGGGTTGGGCTCCGGCTCCCCCTGCCGGCCGCACCGGGGCACCTTCCGTGTTCACTCGCGACACCCTCCCTAAGGAGTAGATTTCCCCGTCTTCTAAGTCGGGAGAACTGAGGCCCGGAGAGAGCAAGGCACTCGTGTCGTGTGTGCACGGGGGCGCACCTCGGGGCGGTAGGGGCCACTCACCGCGCCGTAGTCCCGACGCAGCTGCGGCGCGTCCCGGAAGCGCACGTGCAGCCCGTAGCGCGCCAGGTACAGGTTCTCGGAGCAGAAGCAGGCGCAGCGGCAGAAGCGCCGCCCGGGCCCCGCCGTCGCCATGGCGAAGCGCCCCGCGGCGCCGCCAGCCTCCCGAGGGGCACTTCCGGGTACGCCCCCAGCCGGGGGCGTGGCCAAGGGGCCGTTCCCAAATTTCCAAGTGCAGAAAAGAACGGAGACGACTCGCCAGGAACGGTCTGAGTGGGAGAGGTGCCCCGGGCTGGGGTGCCGCCGGCGGCCTGGGCTGAGCACGTTCTGCCTCAGTGTCCCCGCCCACGACACGGGGCTTACACACCGGTGAGCCGAGGCACGCCGTCACAGGACGTGCAGAGGTAGGGGCTCAGAACCCTCGGCCTTCGGCTTCGACGCCGCGCCCTCCCCTGCCCCGAGCTTTGAAGCCCCAGCGGCGCCCGCGAGGAAGGCGGAGGACAGCCGAAGACCTCCGAGGTCCGACCCCGTTCCCGCCAGCTGCTGCCCACCAGCCGGCTCTGTGCGTGTGAGCCCGGGTTTAACATTTGTCCCGGGTCCCCGCCCGGCGCTCCAGGCCACCGCCACCTTCAGTTAGTCTTTGCGGCCGAGTCCCCTGAGTGTCCCCGCGAAAACGCTCCGTCCCGCGTGACTTCCGGCGGCGTCCCGAAGGAGACTGTGGGCGGGGCGCGGGCGTGGCTGTGGGCGGCCACTTCCTCGCGTCGGGCCGGTGGAGTTCCCGCATCCGCGCTGCGACAGGTGTGAGTGACTATGGGGCGTGCGTCCCGACCTCCGGGAGGCCCAGCACGGCACGCTCATTCCCAGCCTCGGGGGGCCGTCTCTGCCTGCCATGCACCCCCGAGACCCGGTCCGCAAAGCCCCACTGCTCGGATGGGGGTACTGAGGCCTGACGGGAGAGGAAGCCATGTCCCCCGGAGCTGACCCCTGTGGTGTCACGAGGGGCCGCAGACCCCAGACCTTACCCGGACGACCTTGTCAGGGCCCGTTGACCGAGCCTCGTCCCTGCTGGACCTGCACCTGCGCTGAGGATCCGCGCCCACCCTGGTTCGTCCCGGTTTCACGGGCGCGGATGCTGAGGCTTACAGAGGCACAGTGACCTGCCCCAGGTCGCGTGTCTGGTAAAGGGCAGATTTGGGTTTGAACCCAGTGCTCTGCCCTGAGTTCCTGGCTCCCTGCCCTGGGATGATGCGGGACTTTGCATTTTCTCTTGGTGCTTGTTGGCGTTTTCCCGTGACTCCGCCTTCCTCTCCCACGTGTCTGCGCAGTTTCCTGTTCACACCTAGTCCCGCACATTGGCAGTCATCCAACACGCACTGGCATAAACACACCACCCACGTCTTCACACGCCGTCCAGCACGCGCTCACGCTACATGTGTGCCTCCCTCTCTGTGTCTTATAAGGACATGTGTCAATAGATTTAGGCGAGGCCCACCTAGAGAATCCCGGATGATCTCATCTCGAGGTCCTTAACTTGATCACAGCTGCAAGGACCCTTGTTCCACGTTCACAGATCCCAGCGGAGTGTAGCGGGGTGGGCGAGGGGGGCACCATTCAGTGTACTACTGCCCTTTTAAAGCTTTCTTCCCTTTTTTTTGAGAGGTTTTTGCTACAGGGCGCGTGCGCTCACCAGAGAGAGACAGAGAGACAGAAAGCGAGAAATCACCCCCCAGGGGGGATGGCCATGCTGTAATCCCTTCTCCTCCATTCTCCTCTCAGGATCCTGGGCACACATGCACATGCGCCTGGCTTGAGTTTTAAGCCACCAGGTCCGGACACGAACCGTGGTTGACTACATGGGAGCCCAGCGACACAGCCATTACGCTAACTGCTGGTCCCTCTTCCCTTTTAAAGCTCTCCGTCACTGGGTCACTGCCGGCAGGGAGGAGAAAGGAGGGAACATTCACCCTCCCTCCCTCCCCACCCCTTACCTCCGTGCAGGTGGAAGGCCTGGGAAGACAGTTAAACTGGGCCATGAGGCAGCGATGCCTGGAGTCCAGTCTGAGCCACTAGGCCTCCCTGAGGAGGAGAATGAGGAGCCTGCATCCCCCAGATGGAGCAAACCACCCAGGCCAGGGCTGCCTGACCTTAGAAGGTGTTTAAAGTTTCATGGTCATCTTGATTGCCCAGCGAGAGTGAAGGGCCCTGCTCTCCAGGAGTAGGTCAGTTCTCCCAGCTCCAATGTTCACTACACACACACACATACACACACACACACACACACACACCACCGCCCCTCCCCACAGCGGGCCCAGGGCAGGCCAGCTTCCTAGCCCGCCGCCTCCAGGCATGGGCAGCACCCACCCACGTGGCTCACCTCCTTGGGTTTGTCTCTTTACAGTCATTTGTGAGATGAGACATTCTGCTCCTCGGTTTAGACTGGCCTGTGCCACTGGTCACCAAAACAGACCAGCAAGGAGAACATTTTAGTAGTAAGCACAGGACCCATGGGTCTCTGATGGTGTCAGGGTACCAACAAGTCTCTGTTGACTGCTTGAGGTACTATTATTCCCGTTTACTGATGAGGAAGCCGAAGCTCAGTGAGGTGCAGGGACCAGGGACCTATCCAGAGTTAGAATACTCCAGAATTAGAATGTCTGATTCCAGAATGGCCCGCGTACATGCGTGTTTGTAAACGTGTATACACATGTGTGTGTATTTGTGTACGTATATACATGCTTGTCGAATCGACATGGAGCACACATCAAAGAAGGCACAAGCTGTGAGTGAATTGGGGGATGAATTTTCACCAACTGGACACACCATGCAACCCCGCACTCAGATGCAAACAGAACATTCCAACCTCCGAAGCCCCGCGTGTCCCCCCCTTGATCACTATTGACCTCCCAAGAATAAGCACTACCCTGACTGCTTTTTGTTGCCAGAGAGCACACGCACGCATCATCGGGGCAGGGGGCGGGGGGCCGGCACCACACCAGTGGGGCATGGTCCTGTTGCAGTCCCTTCTCCCTTTCTTCATCCTGTCAGCTTTGGTGCATGTACATACACAGAGCTGGTGTGTTTTCCAAGCTGCAGGGGCCTGGGAACCGAACTGTGGTAGCCATGTGGGATCTGGCTCCCTTAACCACTAAGCCATGGGTCTGGCCCCACTCTGACTTCTAATAGCAAAAGTTAGCCTTGCCTGTTCTTGAGTGTGATGCAAATAACATCTGACAGCATGCGCTCGGCGCTGCAGTCCTGAGCTTCGCCTGTGCCGCTGGGGTAGCAGCCGTCCGTACTTCAGCACGGCTGCATTGCACCCCGTTGTGCGGCCACGCACAGTCCCTGGCCTCACTCACTGTAAATGCAGTTGGCAGGCATTTATATCATTTCCACTTTGCAGATGTGAACCAAGCTGCCAGGAACGTTCTGAATCATAAATTACACATAACAAAATGTACCGTTTTACTCACTTTCTTTTCTTTAAAAGAGAGATTTTTGCTATAGGGTGCATGTGAGAAATCACCCCCCGGGGGATGGCCACGCTGCAATCCCTTCTCCTCCATTCTCCTCTCAGGATTTTGGGCACCCACGCACAATCCCGGTTCGGGGATTCCAACTGCAGCCTACCATGTGTGAGTCCAGTGCTGTAACCTTTACGCCATCTGCTGGTCCCCAGTTTTAGTTTCATAACAAAATTCAGTGGAAAATCATATAGAGGGGTTCCCATATACCCTCTGTCCCCCCACCATGCACAGCCACCGCCTTCATCAACATCCCACATCGGAGTGGGACATTTGTCACCACACATCACTGTCAGCACATCCTTACTGATATATCTCATTTATCGTATTATCCAAAGTGTGAAGTTTAGGTTCACTCTGGGAACTGTATAGTTTTTCACACATGTCTAAGACTCGTACCTGCCAACACGGCATTACACAGGGTAGTTGCACAAACCCTGACCCCTCTCTGCTGTGTACTTGTCTCTCCCCACTAGCCCTTGGAAGACACCGTCTTTGTACTGTCCCCACAGCTTTGCCTTTTACCAAAATGTCATGCCGTTGGAACCATTAAGTATCCGCCTTCCCAGATTGTTGTCTTTCACTTACATAATATGTATTTGAGGTTCCTCCAGTCTCTTTCCAGTCTCTTCATGACTTGATGGCTCACTTGCTTTTAGCACTGAATAGTATTCCATTGTCTGGATGTTCCACAGTTCACTTCTCCACTCACCTGTTGAAGGACATCTCTGTTGCTTCCAAGTTTTGGCAATTGTAAATAAAGTTTTATAAACATCCATGTGCAGGTTTCTGTGTGAACATAAATTTCAACTCCTCTGAGTAAATATCAAGGAATGCGATTGCTGGATCATATGAGAAAAGTATGTTTAGTTTTGTAAGAAATTTCCAAACTAGAGTTGGGCCCATAGCATATTGGTTAAGGGAAACGGATTCCACATGGCTAACTATAGTCTGAATTCTGGCTCTGGCAGCTTCAAAAACAACAGGTTTGTGGGGGGTCCAAAAATCCCAAAAGGATGTAAAAATGAAGGAGAAGTGATTACAGCATGGCTACACCCATTGGAGGCTGCTTTCTCTCTCTCTCTCTCTTTCTCTCTCTTTTTCTGTTACTCTGTCTCTCCCTGGCAAGCACATATACCTTCTGCCAATCAAAAGAAGAGCAAGAAGGAGAAAAGAAACTTCTAAAGAGAGACAGAGAGACAGAAAGCGAGAAATCACCCCCCAGGGGGGATGGCCATGCTGTAATCCCTTCTCCTCCATTCTCCTCTCAGGATCCTGGGCACACATGCACATGCGCCTGGCTTGAGTTTTAAGCCACCAGGTCCGGACACGAACCGTGGTTGACTACATGGGAGCCCAGCGACACAGCCATTACGCTAACTGCTGGTCCCTCTTCCCTTTTAAAGCTCTCCGTCACTGGGTCACTGCCGGCAGGGAGGAGAAAGGAGGGAACATTCACCCTCCCTCCCTCCCCACCCCTTACCTCCGTGCAGGTGGAAGGCCTGGGAAGACAGTTAAACTGGGCCATGAGGCAGCGATGCCTGGAGTCCAGTCTGAGCCACTAGGCCTCCCTGAGGAGGAGAATGAGGAGCCTGCATCCCCCAGATGGAGCAAACCACCCAGGCCAGGGCTGCCTGACC